AAGTTACAAGAATAAAGCAATGAAAGAAGGATAAAAGAGGCCAAAAAAACCAAGAAAGCCACCGGTTTTATCTTTCAACTATGGCAGCCGTTTTTTGCAGGAAAGAGCAGCCACATTTTCTTCTTTTTTCACACAAATGGCTAGGGTAAAGACAACATATATATAGGCTAGGTTAGGCTATAGTTAGACCACTAAAGGGTTAAATGAGTCAAAATTCAATACCATCCAAGAGGTAATATATATGGGTTGTGAGTAGCATTAATTTCTTAAGCTACTTCCAACGGTCTACGTTGTTTTTGGGTAGAGGATTTGAACTTGGTTGTTGGTAACAATTTAATCCAGTGTTTATATGATAACCCAGGATTCATTGGACATCGAAACCCAACAATATAAAAATAAGTTCTTATTTGAAATCCCTCCGAGTCATTGTAAATCATCTGGATTGTTCTCAAATTATTCAAAATTATTGCTTTGGAGAAGCCCACTGTATCCCAAAATTTTTACTTTATATTTAAATACATTTCTAATTCTTGTCTTATTGATAAAGACGACTTAATGTTTAAATACTATATTTTGGTAGGTAGACTAATTATTATATTTCTTTACGTCTCCATTTGTATTGCAATAAATTCAAGAAGCTTAACTCAATTGTAAAGATAGATTGGGAATCATACAAACGACAAAGAGGGGTCGTAAATTATTTCGTTTAGCCAATATACAGGAAGTTAAACTCTATAATTAGTAAGGATTAGAGATCTAAACCAAAGTATTAAATTAAAGTTTTCATACATGTAGTGTACTTGAACGAAACATGATCAAAAAGTTAACTAATTGAGAAATGCACACATATTTCTCGCCATAATGTCATAAAAAAGTGTTAAAATCGCAAGTCTAATAAATACTTTGCCATTTTGATGTTATTCGTGTAAATTACTGTCGCATTAGAGTATTTCGAAGACTCGTTGAAAGTGGAATGTTCTTTATTTTAAAGAGTTATAACTTGAAATTAGGTTTCAAGGGATTTTTTATATTTATTTTTTAAGATAATAGTGATTTTTACTCTCTATATTTGGAGAGGTAAACTCACTCTCTTTCGAGTTTTATCACAGTTTCATTTTTGAATGTCTTACTACTTAAATTATTCTTGTTGTGTTAAATATTTTTAATTGTTTCTATTTAAAAAGTATATTAATTGAAAAATGAGGGAAAAAACGATAAATAATTGTTGAAATAAATAAAATGAAGAACAAGAAATAAATAATTTGTTGGAATGTATAAAAAATTACTTTTTAAAATTTAAAGATCAATCTATTATTAACCAATGAGAAATGATCTCTTAAACACCGATAACATGGCATACCAATTAATTGACGAATAAGTTCATAGTAGGTCACATAAATTATATGAACTATCAATTAATCAGTGTATCATGTCACCTGCTAACCACCGATATTTAGGAGATCATTTCTCTATAACCAATATATTGATTAAAAATAAAATAATATTATCTACCATTATTGAGCACTAATTTAAATGTCAACAGTCGATTGGTACAATTAAATTAATTATGTGATTAAGCAAGAGGCCATATATTAGGCATCCATTCACTTAATCTTAAGAGAGGATGGCAAATGATAAAGAAAGCAAAACTTAAATAATTGGAAAGGTAACTAAGATTAGTTAATGCCAATACGGCAAAGCATGCAATGCCAAATTTGAAACTACAAGAAAACGACCCTTCCAACCCTTGTTAACAAGCTAAACTCTCCAAGATGGAGTAAATTATTTGCCCACCGTACATACGCAACTATACATTATCTTGTGTATGTGAATTTTCTAAATAAAAGGAATTGAAAAGTCACAATTTGTGCCTCTGTGCTCGGGAGCCTCCCGAGTAACAAGGAGATGCAAGTTGGGATGGTGGAATGACAAAAAAGAAAAACTAACATTTGAGCAAAAGGGTAGGGGTATATAGCAATATAAAATCAAATTTTATCAATAAAATTTGAAGAAATATATGGTAAAAAAATTATGAATATCATATAATTAATATGCAGTTAAAATTATTTGTTGACTTTGACTTTAATTTAATTTTAATTTACGGCAAACATGGGCTTAAAATATGAAACTATTCATAGAGTATCTTTATAAGCAAAGTTATTCTACATAAAATTAATGAAAAAGTGGTTTTTCTTATTTTTTCTCCCTAAAAATTAAGTCCTTAGTTTAAGATATTTCATTTGTATGTATACGTAAGTTTAATATATTGAGTGTCGTGGCACTGTTTTTGTGGTTTAAAACAATTTAATACAAACGGTGAATCTAAAATCGAGCAATGAAGCCCCTGATTGTACGAATTTTCATACGAAATATTTTATTGTACAAATGTATTGTTGAAAATGAATACGTAAAAAAAAAAAAGAGTTTTCAAATATAAATGTGGTCAAGGGTTAAAAAGGAAAGAAAATATGAGGTTTTTCTGTGTAGTCTGTGTGCTTGCTTGCTAGACAGAACTTGTCTATTCACGAGAACACTGGTTTACGCCATAACAACGGCAGCGGGACGTCGTTTAAAAGCTAGATTCCTCTTTTTCGCCGGTGTCTTGCAGCACAAAATGACACGCGTCAATTCTTGAGTGGTCTATTGTTGTTGAAACAATAGAACAGCATCTCCGTTCGTGGATCAAGCAGAGCACGAGCCGCTGGAAGCTCTGAGCTGTGCTGTCACTTTGACGTTAATTTATTCCTCAAATAACTTTGAGTTGAGGTGCACTCAATACATGGATTTGGCTCCGCTCAGCTCGGTTATCACTTCACTTTTAGCCCTTGTTTGAGCCTCATTTTGGAAAGAAAAAAAAAATGTATTTTAGAGCAATGATTTTGGGAGAACATGTGGTTAAAAAAGATTGAAAATTTTTCGATTTTTGTGTAAAATTGTTTTATTAAAAAATGTGTGACTGAAAATGAGTTCTAAAAAAAAAAAAAAAAGGGGTCTATCCTTTTTTGATATATATCATTTATATTTAGCCTCAATTTGGTGGGGATTAAAATTAAATTTTTAGTAGATTTTGATAAAATGTGATTAAATTCGTTGTTGAAAAGTTGTGAGTTTAATAAAATATGTGATTAAAATTAATTGTTGACTTTGATTTAAATTAAAATCAAGATTTTAATTTTTGCCAAACAGAGGTTTTAACTCTCGTTTGACAATTTTATAAATAATTTATAAAAAATAATAATAGTGGGTTTCACAAAATGTGTAGATAATAATGGGCAATAGTTACGAATTGGTGATTGAAATTAACGTTTAACTTTGACTGAATCTAAAAACCATAATAAATATGTTCTTACTTCCTCGAACAACATCATACATTGTATACATCGAACGGGATAAAATGATACTTTGATGGTCATTATTATGAAAAACGAAGTTTTGAATAATATTTTTTTTTATAAAATGTGTGGGAAATATTTTGGGTGTAAAAATATTTTTATTGTGTAAATATTTGATTGAAAATTAGTGTGAAAATTAAAGAATTTTATTTTGAATGGAGACAAACATGGACTTAAAATGTGATTTTTTTCGCTTTTTTTTTTTTTTTCTTTTTTACGGAGAATTTTTCGTATGTCCATCTAACTCCCACCTACAAATTCACAAAGCTTATCCATCCATATATCCAGCATTTTTCAATACTTACTCAACCACACACTGACACACATTCTACACAGGCTACTTAGATTATACACGGGATTTTTGTCTTCACATTCAGTCAAATAATAGGTAAATTAAAAATGTTAACTAACTTAAAAGGTAAATTTCTGTCTCCATTAGAGGGGTAGCTTGTCCGATTTGCAATTTTATGTGAGCTATGTTAGGTCAATGCCCACATAGGGGTGATGCATTTTGGAGCTAGTGTCCAATCCATATTTAACTCATATTTTGTAGAGATTTTTTAAAATTTATTTTCAACCACAAGTTCTCTCCAAAAATAATTTTGTACATAAACCCATAATTTTCCCAACTTTTTAAACCCACACTCTTAAAAAAAATTTTAAAAAAATCACTTTTCGTAAAACTTACTCTCAGAGAATCATGCTACATGTACAATACTGATTGACAACAGTGGTTGACAACTTTTTATTTGGTATCATCATATCCATCCATTTTAAAAAATAAATTTCTACATCACATACCAGAATTTTGACAACACATGGTTGTCAACCATTGTTGTCGAATAATATTGTACACTTAGATTAATTCGTAAATCACTAGAGAATGTGTAGTTCAAAAAAAAGGAAAAGTTTGTAGTTTACGTGTAATATTATTTTATTGAAAAATGTGTAGTTAAAAAAACAAAAAAAAATATTTTGAAAATAATGATGATCAAACAAGGGTTCAAGAAAGTCAATATAAAAATCTTTTTAAGAAATTGACCTGTGATTTAACCGGCGTTTGACACGATTTTGTAATTTAAATCAACGCCATATACGATTTGTACTTGAAGAAAAAATGCATTTATTATTTTGTTTCAACTAGCTAGGAAATGAAACACGATTTTGTAATTTAAATCAACGCCATATACGATTTGTACTTGAAGAAAATATGCATTTATTATTTTGTTTCATCTAGCTAGGAAATGAGATTGGATCAGTTTAATTCGAATAAAAATTAATAATAGATAGTTGAAAATATACACCAAAGCTATACAGTTATGCTAACACACAACGAAGCCGTGAACCGCAAGTAACAGCTTGCATCCGGTTTCTTTTATTAGGGAGAAAGCGGTACTATACTCAACACGTTTTACACTGACGACATCCAATCAAAATGTACTCACTACGATTTCATATTCCCCTCCTCTAATCAATCATTTCACTTTTTCCCCTATAAATTCATTACCAATTCCCAACTTTCACCAGTTCCACAATATCCAATTTTTCAAATTTTCTTTTCTCTATCCCAATTCTCAAGTCATTCTTCGCTCAGCAACCTGTTTTTCCATGGCAGAAGAATTTCAAGAATCTGAAGTAATTTTTCCAGAAAATAATGATGAAAGCAAGGATGTTTCAGTTCATTTGAATTCACGAGAATCAAGAAAGAGCAAGGGCAGAAGGAAAAAGTTGAATTCAGTTCCGATGAATATCCCGGAAAATGCGTCCAGAAATTCATTGCTTGGGTATGTGGATTCAGATTTTTTCGAAGAAGATATTGGTGATGACGGAGAAATGATCCCACCACACGTCATCATCGGACGGCGTCTTGCAGGAAAAATACTGGCGTTTTCCGTCTGCGCCGGGATTAATGGAAAGAGACTTAAAGGAAGGAATTTGATGGAAGTCCGAAATTCAATTCTCAGGATGACAGGATTTCTTGAAACATGACTTCCGGGAAAAGCCAGGAATAACATACAACCCAAGGAAAAAGAAATAAAATAAGTAGGATAATATTTTCAGCCACCTTTTGTGGGTTTAATTTTCATCTTTTGATTGTTATAGGATCTTCAGAATGCACATAATTGACTGTAGCAGAACTGAAAATTCATTTTCTCAAAAGAGAAGGAAATTAAAATCTTCAAAATTGAAACCCAAAAAACAATATTCTTAGTTTTATTGACATAATTGCTTTATTATCTTGTTCTGATATATAATATTCTGTAGCTTAAGATCCTGAGTGTTTATCAGCTTTCTGTTGTATTATTCATGTTCATGTTTCCTTAAGAATTTGTCTGTTCTGGACAGTACCCAATATCCACAGCTGGTTTTTTAAGTGAGATAGATTTCATGGATTTTTCTACATGTATATAAAATATTGTATATAATGAATTACATAATATAACGTGGAAGAAAAAGATTAGATGAAAAAGTTAATTGTATTTTAAACTGAGAAATGATAGAGTGTCATGTAACATTATATAATAAAAAGATTGAGATTTTATTATATACGTTTGTCGTGTAAATATATAAATATTTGATTACCATGTATAATTCATGTCATCAAAACAGACATCGTATATAAAAATTATACTTTAGTACGTATAATTGTATAAAAATATAGTATTGGTGTGCCGCACCCGAAGAAAAAAATGCAGAGATAAAGGTAAAATATGTGCAATGTCTTTATTTGTATTCCCCCAATGTAAAATGTGGGAAAAAAAAAAAAAAAGTCTTCATTTTCCTAAATGCATATTTTGGAATCAATGCCATTGAATACAACGGAGCTGATCATCTGCCCATAGGATAAAAATTGATCACCTTCGACATGGCGTCATCACATCAGTGATCAAGTTGTATTTTTTTACTTTTCAAAAAAAAAAAATTTGACTTTCTGACGTGGCAATGCCTCCTCAACAGATCGACATTATGACCCCTGCAATTATCTACATGTGATTGTGATAATCGCAAGATCTCAAATTCTTATCGATTGTAGGTATACAAATTGTATATTGCATAGAGTAATTAATTTACTATCCCTCCTTCTGTTTAATGATTAAAAAAAAAATTAGTTTGAAGGTGCAAAGATTCCAATCTATCCTTTGTAACTATGTCAAAATTTGTGGTCGTGTTATGCTAAGATAACACGCAACACACGCAACAAAATGTAGGCTAAATAAAAGTTCAATCCGTTCACATTTGAGTTTAGCCTCTTTCAAGTGAACAATAAAAAAAATAAGAAATTTATGTACACGAAAAATGTGAATTTTTCGTTCACTTCTCTTCTTCAATTATATTTGATTTGTTTAGATTTAATGACTTTAAAAAATAATATTATCATTCTTGACGGACGGACGGCCGGCCATTATTGCAAGTTGCAACAATCGAATTTTATTTAAATAATAAGCACTTGTTTGGTTTTGCTATAAGCCAGAATTTTAATTTTAATAAAATTTGATGAAAAAATGTTGTTGAAACGTTGGAAGGGAACATGGTTCCTTTCCCGTTGGTCCCAATTTCTTGAAAGATTGCGTTTCTCGTCTCCATTTCATTTCATTTCATTTCGTACCATCCCAATTTTTAATAGAATAGAACAAAGCGAAGATAAATGGACGAGACATTTTGTTATCTCTATATAAATAATTAATATAACATGGTTATCCTCAATTGAACTTAAAAAATAGAACAGTTGACGACGTGGCCACGTGTGTCTCAGAATTCTACGACAACTAGCTTAAGGCCACGTGCACGATACCTACTAACTTACAATTAACAGAAAAAGTCATGTCCATTTCACAAGCCAACTTGTCTAACATGGATGAAATTAAAGCCATTTCACAAGCTTTATTGAATTTATTGCAATTCTTAAAATATAATAATTAATTCTACCCACCAAAATAGTAAATTTAAACATAGCCCCTATTTGTTGTACATTATTTGCCTGACAAAATAAGAATTGTAATCGTTGAGATCTCACTTCAACCACTTTTTTTGAATTTTCATCTCTATGGTGGGGCATAGGTTGGCCCACCAACGATCAAAAAAATTCTAAGAATGAAGGGAAAATGGAAAACAAACGGGGTATAAGAATTTAAATATTTACCGAGTTTGAAAAACTAATTCCAGTCTGAAATTCTTTGCTGACTTAATCAAATCTAATGATAGAGTATGGACCAAAATGTGTAGTTGCTGGGGGTGAAAATGAGATTATCCAAAACATTATTTTAATAATTTGAGGAGTAATCTAGATTATTTGCAACTTAATGACTTTTAGGAATTTCAGGCAATAAATAAATTTATGCAGGGAAACTATGCAATTTTTCATTAGAAGTAAAACTTTATATATAAATGTTGAGCAATATATTCAAGTACTTTGAAATATTCGTGTTCAATTATTTCTGAGTGCTTTGAAAATAGAAAATTTACCGCTATCTTTCCAAATAGTATTTTACGTATTTTTGCAAATCAACGAGACAACTTTTCAGAATTTTAATCCTTAGTTTTGTCGTAGATTTATGTACGTATGTCTCAAATTAATATTCGATTCCCTACAAGAATATGTTGCCTTTTCATGGTTCAATAGAACCGATAACGTGTCTTTACAAATGCGATTCCTATAATTTCAGTCCCACAACAATATACTTTAATAGATCTTTTGGGATTCTGGTATTAAAGTCGCAATCACCATAAAGCATTTGGCTAACGCTTTTAAAAATAGCCAATAGAATATTTGCGTGCGGATCAAGGGTTTGCCAACTGTTTGCATACAACTGGAGTAAGGTATGTTACTATATTAGCAGAAAATACATGGATTAATAGCAGAAAATACATGGATTAATGTTTTCATTTGCGATATATTTCCCTACATATTGGAAATTGCAGAAAACCCTCTATTTGAAAATTTTTGTGCGAAAAATCCCATATCGTCAAATTTGCCTTTAAAAACAGTAAAAACGTCAAAATTAAAAAGTAAGAAGTGCAATTTTAATATCCAAACTTTTTAATTTTTTTACAAATTATACCCAAAAATTTTTTTTTATACACCACCCACAATCTCAAACATTTAAAATTTTATTTTCCACCTCACCTCACTTCTTCTTCTTCTTCCCCAAAACTTTATTATTTTATTTAATCCCTTCCAAAATCCTCTTAAATCTCTCACCCCAAATTACTCATTTCTTCTTCTCCTTCCCAAGATTGGAAATATCCACAATATCCACTCCCCACAAAACCCAATTTTGAGTTGCAGTTCTACGAGAAATATTATGAGTTATTGAATTCATCCATGGAAAGGATCTGTCATTAGCTCTCAAGAATTTTCCCTTTCCCTCGTCATTAGTTTCACATAATTCCCTTCTTTTACAGGCTCACATTCAATTGGAGTGTCCATTTTTGTTGCCGGAATAGTTTACAGAACCCTTTTTCCGTTCATGCCAAGGAGAAATGGCTCGTCCACCGCCGTGTGGTAGCAGCCATTAAAGTTCTTAAGGCGGATTACGGTGTTTTTGCCTTCAATGAATTCAACTATCCACCGTGCCTTGTGTGAAGCACAATTGGTGTGTGTGTGTGTGTGTGTGTGTGTGTGTGTGTGTGAGAGGATCTATCTTTGGAATGAGAAGAAGAAATGATGAATTTAGGGTGAGGGGTTTGGAAGAAATAAAATAAAATAATAAAGTTTTGGAAAAAAAAAAAGATGAAGTGCGGTGCGGTGAAAAATACAGTTTTAAAGGTTTGGAATTATGGGTGGTACATAAAAAAAAGTTGGTATAATTTGTAAAGAAAATAAAAAGTTTGGATACTAAAATTGCAATTATTACTTTTTCATTTCGACATTTTTACTATTTTTAACAACAAATTTGATGGTATGAGGTTTTTCGCACAAAAGGTTTCAAATACGGGGACTTTTTGGGATTTTCAATAGGTAGAGAGGTATGTCATAAATAGAAACGTTTTTAGGAGGTTTTCTGCTATTAATTCATTAATACAATTTACTTTATATTTATATAAGTGGATAAACAAATACGTGGTTGGAAATTGTTTAGGCATAACGATAATTAATGTTCGAACATGTCCTGTTCTATTATACTTTGATTATAAAATATTATAGTTGGATTGAAGTTCTTCATTAAATAATTAGATGATGTTTCAAGATTTGGAATCTACGGTGAAAATATTTTTAGCCACGTATGTTGAGGGGCTTTTTACCTCGACGTATACGGTGAAAATATTTTTAGTCCATGTCTGGTATGGATTAAAATTAAAAAATTTAATTAAAGTCAACCAATAATTAATTTTAACTATTTGTTTCATTGGATTCCTAACTTTTCAACTACACATTTCATCAATCTTTATCAAAATCTACTAAAAATTAATTTTAATTTCTACCAAATAAGGGCTTATTTTTTAATTTTCAATTAAAAGTCCTTCATATACAAGTCTAAAATAATAAACGACGTGACATACTAAACCTAGTTGAAGTTATGTATAATGACGTGGAGATAAGGTTGCACAAAGGAGTTGGAGAAAACTAGAGCACAGATGCAAGGAGAGAGGGAGTTGCGTAAATGAAGATTTGGGCAGAGACGATAGAGGTTGCGAAGAGGTGGCGGCACCGACCGTAGTAGGGGGTTGTGGCAGTAGGGTTGAACGTTGAAGAAGGTGGAATCTGAAGAAAATATTAAGATTTGGGGGTCCATCTTAAAAGGTCAACCTTATTAAGAGGAGTAACCCATGATCTTTATTAATTGGTCTGTGTTTACATCATTATTCGATGTGGGATTTATATCCCTTAACACGCCCCCGCAAGATGGTGGCTCGTTTGAGCAGACCAATCTTGAAATCCACGTGCTCACTTTTTGGAGTCTTACCGGGATGGAATCGCTCGTTGGAGCATAATGGGCTCTGATACCATATTAAGATTTGGGGGTCCATCTTAAAAGGTCAAACTTCTT